CAGCTACAGAAATGGGTCAAAGAAACGCCAGCATTGGTGCTGTCAGCCTATTCATTCTTTTACTCCTTGATGGTGGACAGAGTCTTCAAAGGTAAAACGGCATCACGAGAATCTCAATGGTGATTCTCAAGACGTTATCATGTTTGACCGATCAGGGCACAGCCTAGCTGGGTGAAACGCACCAGGGTAGGGCCATGTTTGCTCGCTGGGGAAGAGGGGTTGTACTTGGCCCCGAAGGAAACTTTTCCAAATGTTGGTGTTTTGCGTTTCATGTCACCTTGCCTTGTTCTATTCCACCGCTAGACAGCAGTAATTTGGGCGAATACGGCAGTAACGTAAGAGGGTAGGAAGTTGTGAGAGGTGTCACTTAGAAGCAGCACCATCATTCCATTCCCCCTACAGCTTACTCTTAAGATTCCATTACATACATCATCACTTCCTAGCACTTGAGTCAATCTAGCAAAGCTATCACTTTCAGCACTCGTTAGTTAGCATAAATACATGTTCAGGAAAAGTTCGAAAGATACTGTGGTGAATAGAGGCAGTAGTTCTCGCTATAAACGCCAAGTGAGTAGGTATGGTTCTACTTGGACGGATAACGAGGTCTACTACGAGTTCGAAGAAAATTATGGTAATAAATTTCATTTTCCGCATGGTCACTGTTGTGGGACGATATATTAGGTTGGCAGGGATGTTCTGTCACATTTTTCAAATTACGTGCTCTTTTCATTGAGGAGCGTGTGAGATCAAATTGTGCAGCAATGTTACTGCGAGGTCCTTGCCAGTTTTTGAGCACCTCATGGATGCCATCGCTTCACAATGCAGGGAGGCGCGACGCAAAGTTGGACACCATCTCAACCTCGACTTGAACTCGGGTTATGGAGGTTTTCTCGTCCACATAACGATTGAGTACGGGAGAGCAGTTAGAAGGAGCAATGTCTGTGCTACACCAGTGCAAGGGGAGAGCCATCCAGCTCTATTGCATGAGGTACGGCTCGAACTTTTTTGGACGGAGTGCGCTGCACTATCATGATGAGGGCGGGCTGTGCGGACAAATTTTTCCCTCTGATCAATGGTACGCTTCAGATCTCGTAGCTGCTTTGCGTACGCATTGACCGAGGAAGCAGCTTCTTCATCCAGCACTTTCACGACCCGCAGCTCCCTCAGTCTGAGTTCACAGGTAACCCAGACCTCACTCTCATCAAAACTGTGTGCTCCCGCATTAGCTCAAATATTTTGGCATCTGCAGCTATCATGCTGACGCCAGGGTGGTGGAAGAAATATTTGACGACGCGGAGGGGTCGGTGCCGATGGTAGCGGATAAATTCTTGTCCATATTGCAGAAGAAGAAGCAGGAGTCAAGCGAGTGGTACTAATAGAAAGACCACTCCTTGATGTATAAGTGCTCACATTACCGGTTACCCCTCTTCAGGTAATGGGCACGAGCTTTAGGTCTGGAAAAGGTGACAGAACTTTCCCGCCAGCCTAATATCAATCAGATGGTAAAATGTCTCAGAGGAAAAGGCTCGCGATATAGTCGAGGAGGCTATGGGCTACATTGCTGTCCACACATGTATTGACTTTCGTGAAGATCCAACTGCAATCAATCGGATTCGAATCAGGAGAGGAGAGC